TGTGCTCGTCTGGGCTGACCAAGCACCAGTGACTGGGATGGCTGACGCAACGCGCTTGATCAAAGTGGTCACTTAGGACTACGTCAGTAGTTTCAGATGAGATCAGTCAGGCTCCTGGGACTGCACCAGACATTGATTCTGCACCTGCACCAGACTGCACCAGACACGTTCACCAGACGCTGGCGGCTGTGCAACAGACATTGGTGGCTGTACACCAGACACTGGCGACTGTACAACAGACAATGGTGACTGCACATCAGACACTGGCGGCTGTACACCAGACATTGGTGACTGTAAACCAGGCATTGGCGACTTTACACCAAACATTGGTGGCTGTCCACCAGACACTGGCGACTGTACAACAGACAATGGCGACTGCACACCAGACACTGGTGGCTATACACCAGACACTGGCGGCTGTATACCAGACACTGGCGGCTGTACACCAGACATTGGTGACCTTACACCAAACATTGGTGACTATACACCAGACACTGACGGCTGTACAACAGACAGTGGCGACTACACCAGACACTGGTGGCTATACACCAGACAGACCTCAGCACTGTGCAAGGATGGATTAGATAGTGTTCAGCTGCTGCAGCAAGCAGCGCCTATCGGCTGCACTTGGAAGCATCCAATGACTCTACCATACAGCACCCGCGACTGCATTATAGATAATCCAGTGCCTGCATCGTGGATAATCCAGTGACTGCACCATACGCCTCCCAATGACCGCGCCAGATACCGTCCAGCGACTGACTCTGGCAGCATCCAAAAACTGGCCGAGACAGCGATGAAACATTTATACTTGCATCAAGCAAGCGCATCATTTCCTGTGGCTCTCCTGATACAAATCACTGCCTGTGTACTGCCACTGCACCAAGCGCCATGCAGTGCAGCTGAAGGCGTCGACGGCGCCGCGGCTGGTGGCGGTCGGTCGCGGTCCGGTCCGGCCCGGCCCGGCTCGGCCCGGCCCGGCTCCGGCCGCGTGGTTTGCATAGTGGGTCCGTTAGCGGCGGTAACGGTCCGCCGGCCGCACACAAGACGCGCCGAACTCTGCCCCCGGTCCCTGCGCCGGCGCCGGGTAATAATGTAATCGGCTGGCCCGGCCGCCTCTGACGAACGCCTGACCCACATCCCAGCACGGATTCGCTTTTTACGCCACCCGAAGTGGGCGTAGATGTCCCGTGAGGGACGCGGAGGTGAATGAAACGATGCGCCTCGCGCCGGCCAGTACAATGTCGTTAAAGGTGACGTTGATTTAGGAGGTTGGCCTTAGAGAAGACGCAGTCGCATTTGAGCTGTAACTAAGCTTTCGTAAGTGCCAGGTTAGGAAAGCTGATGAAGACTGGCATCTGAAAGCTGTTTTAACAGTGACTTGCATCCAGGACTACCACCAACTAACTATGAGCATAAACAACAGGTGTGGATTACTACGAAAGTTTATCCATTAAACGAGCGCTGCATATCAGGTATTGGGCAAACGCAGCACGTACGTTCCACTCACGGCGTTGTGACTAGACATCTCGGCCAAGATCACGATCCCCAAACTCAGCACATGCCAGGCATGATCCGAAGTCGTGCTGCTGGCTTCGATTTTGCTGTTGACCAGCATGGCATTCACTGTTTGACAGCCGTAAATGGTGAGTAATCTCTCTTGCTAAAATGGTTCACTTTATACATGGGGTTGAAAACCAGAACCTTTTGAACGCAAAGCCTTCGAGGTGTACCTGCAGATGTATGTACATATGCTTGTGTGGGAGGAGGATTACTCGGGAAGTGGTGGACCCGTGTTCCAGGATAAACCCAGTTGCACAGCAGTTTTCCCAGAAGCAAGTTGTGACCGCAGCGGCACGCGGCCGGACGGCGGGGCCCCGCGCGCCGTGAGGGAGCTGCGCTGCCGGTCACCGCTGCAGCCGCGCGCCACGAGTCGGACTGATAGGCGGGACTGAGAGGCGGGACTGAGAGACGGGGACTGAGAGACGGGACTGAGAGACGGGACTGAGAGACGGGTCTGAGAGACGGGACTGAGACCAGGACTAAGAGACGGGACTGGGAGACGGGGCTGAGTGACAGTGCTCAGAAAAGGACCAAGAGATGGGACTGAGTGCAGGACTGAGAACGGGACCAATAGATGGGACTGACAGCCGGGGCTGAGAGACGGGACTGAGAGACGGAACTGAGAACAGCACTGAGAGACGGGACTGAGAATAGGACTGAGAGACGGTACTGAGAACAGGACTGAGAGACGGGACTGAGAACAGGACTGAGAGACGGAACTGAGTGACGGGACTGAGAGATGGGAATGAGAGACGGACCGAAACAGGGCTGAGAGGTGAGACGGATCGGCAGCAATGAGAGGACGTTGAACAGTGAGACTCAGAGACGGGACTAAATGACGGGATTGAAAGACGAGGTGTAGATGAGAGTACAACATAGACCTGGAAGACGAACTTGAAGGTTGTTCTCAGAGAGCAGGCAGAGATAAGACTGACCGATACGATTAACAGAAAGTGTCAAGCCGCGATCTCGAAGGAGGGAACTGAGAGAGGAGTCTGGAAGCTAAAATGATATCTATAACTAGTGATCGGAGGGGGATAGAGGTTGAGTTAAGGACTGATAGCTGAAATTGAAAAATGAGCGTTCGAGATGGAAAGTTTGATAGACATGTCAGGCCGAGAAGGCAAATCAGGGCAGGAAGAGGGGTACAGGCTAGAGGCGAAAGTGAGGATAAAACTTGCCACGAGATGGGGAAGCGGCTGGATATGTTACAGATATTGCATGATAAATTTTAACATTGTACGGATGCTCGAAGTGTTCGTTTGGCCCGCATCTCATGGCGTAGCAAAACGTCGGGCACTTTCAACCGAGAAACTTACCAAAAAAGAATAGATTTTATTATCTGGTTCGCCAGAGAAGGGATATGACTGCTAGCAAGTAGCGGTGAACGCAAAGAACTTTTATAGCAAAGTGAAACGGTTGGATGACTTTTCGTCAGAAGCCATATACCACATGACGGAGCTCCATGGCATTGATTATGTCTTGCGCTACACGTTACATGCTACTCGACCATGCCTGTGGTCTCGTCACTCATCTCTGTATAGCCATTTACTCCAGAAAACTAGAAGCGCCACACAATTTCCTAAGATGATCTTTAATAGACTCCGGAGAAAGGCATTTGCCGGTCAGTTTGGCAACAGGCTCGGTTCTGTTGTGCGCTGGTGGGGCTGGGTAGTCGGCGGCGGTCAGCGGTTGCTCAACAGTTTCCCCATCAGCCGGCGGCCGCGCGGCCGCGCTCGCACACCCCGACAACATGACCCTTCGAGGCAGCTTGTCGCAACACGCTGCGACCGATACCATTGTCGATAGTCTACGCGGTGAAATCATGAGAAGAAAAACCATGCCGGCGCGCACGAGCAGCGGGTGGCGACTGTAGCGTGCACTGGGGGCAGACTCGCGCCACGAACTTCCGAGGAATGCGACGAACAGGGCTCGGTCAAGAACCCCTGAGCAGAGCAGCATAAAAAGCAAAACAAAATATGTAAACTTTGGGTCAGTTTACAATGGTTTCAAAAAAAATTACCGTTTACCTTTCGCGATGGCTAGATTTGGACGATCCATATCACCTCATAGCACCCCTCACCCCTTTTTCAATGCTGACCGAATTCCGTTGGTCTGACAGACTTTCAGAGGGTGGATCGCAGCCCCGGCAGACGCGAGTGAACTCCGGGCGGCCTGCGCCGCTCGCTCACTCCCGTCCCTCCCGTGGAGCGTGATGGCGAAGATGGGCCGACGGCCGGCTGCCGCCTCTGCGGCGCACGCTGGCCCACATACGGCGCGACCCATGATGTTGCAAGTGCGCGCGCGGCGCCGCTGCGGCCGCCGACCCAGCGCGGTGGCCACAGCGGCGGCGCAGGTCCGGCCGCTGTCACGACCCCCGGTCACAGGCCTGACGTCACGGGTCACAGGAGAAAGGCCCGCCGCGTGCGCGCCGGTGGCCTCCCCTCCCCTACCCTGCTGTCCATAGCTGACGGGCTGTCGACGGCCGCTGGCCGGGACCGTTCCGGCCGACCGCGCCCGGCCTCCGAGCGCGGCGGCGACGCCGTCTGGAGCCGGCCGTCGGCCGCCGCACGTCATGTAACGCCCAGCTCAGTCGGTCAGCCGGCCGCGGCCGTCTCTCTGGCTCGACACAATGCCTCGTAAAGCCGCACAGCCGCTCGCTGCGCCGACTCGTGCCAGCCGTTGTGCTGAGGTGGCTCTGGGCTGACCGGCAGCCGCTGTGTCCGCACTGATCGGATGGCCACGATCTCATGTCCGTGTTTTGTCCGAAACGTGGTGACTTTTGATTTCCGATCTAGTGTGTTTTCATATTTTATGGATCATAGCCCAGTGAAGGGGCGGTGCGAGCTGTGCGTGTTATTTAGAGAGCCTACACGCATCGGTACGATTACAGAATATGCACGGCAAAGGCATCCAGCCGGCCGCCAGCTACAACGCCGAGGCGCGTGTCCGCTTCCCTGATCGTCTGGTATTCGGCAGCAGGGCGGTCGGTCGCAGGACCCCCGGCGGAGCCGCCAAGCGGTGCATTAATTTGTACGGTGTTCGGCACGACCCAGATTACACTGCCCGGCGGCGGACCGCCGCCGGCCGAGCCTGCCGCCGCCCATCAGCAGTGCCACACACGAGATCAGAGCGGCGCCGCCCCGGGGGCGGCACGTAAACAATAGCCGACGCTCGCGCCGGCGTCGTACTCACCGAGGGAGAGCGCCACGAGCAGAGCGCTTAGCGCGGCTCCGCGAGTCCATGATGGCCTATCGGGCTTCCGCGCGGCCATCGTGGCTGAGAGGCGGCCGCGCTGGGTACAGGCTGTCCGCTGTCGTTTGTGGTCAGGCGGCGTTCAGAGCAAAGACGCCATGCCACGAGAGCGCCGTGCACCAGCCGTCCGCGCACCGCCGGTCGCGACACCGTACTGACCACGGCCGGCCGGCGCCGCACCGTCAGGTGGCCGAGTGCACTGCGCAGGCGCGGACCGGCGCGCGGCACACCCAGCTGACCCAGTCGGGTCACACGACCAGCCCGCGCGCTTACATCAGGGAAACGACCCGGGTGAAATGGGAGGGTGGGCCTGACGCGACAGCGCCACTGGACGAATGTCGAAAACTGTTGACCATAAAGGCGAGAGAAAGCCGCACCGCAGGACGGCCGGTATTCGGCGGACGGTACTGATGGAGCCAGCGCGCGTGCTGGCACACACACATGCAGCTGGTGGCAGGACCGAGGTCTAGAGCTGGCACAACAATAATGGGATATTCACGCACGAGTTACACCGTAGCGTAAACATTGTTGTGACCGGATCTCGACTTGGCTGGACCTGCGTATCGACAAGGCTCTTTGCCAACTAGATCGGACGAGGGTCGGGCACCTACCTGCTCTCTACTGCATACATTATGCACGCATGGAAGAAACGGGAGACCAGCCGACGACATGATCTCATAATCTCACAAATACCGTCAAGAAATTAAACATACCGACCAGGTGAGTAGCCAGGCCTTTAACAAGGGTGGCCACAGGGTTGAAAAAGGGGCCTCCTGATAGCAAAAGCCCGACCCCCCCCCCCCCGCCCACCCCAAATGCCGCGTACTTTGTATTGATATTGGTATTTTAACATTCTAAACCTGGAATGGAAACCAGGAGCTACCGCCAAGTCAATTCTGCCTGAATTTTATAGTCAATAAACTGAAGAAAGCATGCGTTGCAGAGTTGCGTGAGTATCACCGGAGCTTTTCATGCTACAACGATTCAAGAAACTCTTTCTAAGCCGAAAGAGCTCAGAAAATTCGTCGGAAGTTGTATATGGGTTGTACAGAGATATTAAGGACCCAGCGAAACTACGTTGTAAATCATAATGGGCTAACAATTTGCATTAAAATGACCAAGCTATGCTTGTCTGGATTTGTTAAACGTTCAGCAGAAATCGGTTAGTGACACAGATTATGTGACGTACTTTTGAGCACGCACGCCCGCAAATCTTCGTACCAAGAGCCTTAACTCCAGGCGTTGCAGCCTGTATCCGCCGCGCAGCGTCGGCCTCGCACCTAACACTAGGCTGTGATCAACGGGTGAACGAAAATGATGATGTTTCTGAAGGAAGTGCATTTGAATGCCTTAGGACATCACATCGTGCATTCAGAAGGTAGGCCTGGGCGTATCTTCCGCCTGTGCCGTTTTTAGCTTTATGATAAGGACGGATTGGTCTTAACAGTAACACGAAGTGCTGCTGGAATCTGGTGGTGGAACTGGAAGCCTAAAGACAAATCCTCCATTTCTAGTGTGGATGTAACTGCTCAGTCGTCCAGAGGAAAAATATACACGGTCAAATCTTTGAACGGTAATAATTAATTCAAAAGACATTCGGAACCAGTATTTTACGGCGGTCGCTCTCGCGCGCACGGCGCCCGCCTCCTGGTGTCACTTGCAATGGACAACGTTGCTCCGTTTTATAGAAACTGCATTCAAGGCAATCGCTGTCCTTGCTTTCGAGATTGCATGCGTGCAGATCTCAACCTTTGGATGTGATTTGCTTAACTAGTTAATACCGCTTAACTACGAACGTCCTAAGGCAAACATGGATGGCCTTGTTTATTTAAAATTCATTTCGATACAATCTATTCAACAATTATGATATCCTTATTTCTTTCCAGAAAAGGGAACCCGCTGAGTACAGCACTATGAGGCAGATTTTTGCTCCTGATCAACGGCTGAAGTGTATTCCATCCCACCGCGGGGTGTTTTTCGGCTGCCATTCTGGCGACACGGGGCTAGGTCCCCTGGCCGATTCGGAGGCCTGTAGAGGGATACGTCACATCATGTTGGTCCCCTCGCTAACGCGGGAGGCCTTCTGACCTGCGCGGTTGACCCGCAGTTGGCTGCGCAGTTGGTTGGATTGATACAGGAATCCTCATGGACATAACAACATCCCCGACCGCCGCAGGTGGTTCAATAATCGGCATGAAGACTGCAGTTCGGCTTGACGGGTCCATGCCGGAATTCGGGCTGAAGGCCCACCGTTCGGCACTAGGGGCCCTGACCGGCACAGGACCCTTCCATTGCCTCAGTGCGAACATTCATCATTGGTTTTCATGTTTCCTTGCATTGACAGGCGGCTACGACCGACGCAAGAGGGGGCTGTCAAATGTCATTGAGAGTCCCGTCCCTATTCCTGTTGAGCAAACGCTCCCCTGATCGACTTGAGGCCCCCTGCTGACACAGAACACCTTGTAACGCACTGTGGGCACCTAAACGATACAGGAACCCTGCATTGTTGCAGGGGCCCCGGCCAATGTAAATCGCTGGCCCGGCCATGTCCCTGCTTGAGAAATGGCCCCAGAGCCCAGACCGACACAGAGCAGACTGTTCGGTGCTGGTGATCTCTGGCAGAAATAAAGGAACGCCCTGTCTCAGGAGTGCGGTAGGTCAATCTGTGTATGATGCCCTCTAACTGACATTTGAGATCACGGCCCTACGGGCAGAGATCCTTAATGTAACCAACGCGCAGCCTTTTGGCCCTAGAGTCCTACAACCGCGCCCTTGAACTTTGGTATCGAGAGACTCCTCGGCCCCTCTTCGGGCCCCCACACATAGGGCTCCTGGCCAACTTGGGGCCACTGGCCGCCAAAGGACCGCTGTTAGGCACTGTGGCCGCTGACAGACACAGGCAGTATGTTCCCAAAAACAAAACGTTGACCCGGGTCATTTTAGATTAATGATCTATTCTGGCCTCTGAGAGGTCCATGGAAGATGCAAAATGCGGTTTCTGCTATCAGTAAATTCGAAAATGTCACCAGAAACTATCCCATGCAGAAAGCCCTAGAGAAATAAAGCAGGTTGGTTTTGATCTTGGTTTGACCCTCATATCTGACATTAGGTCGATTTAATTTGCTCATTCAATTGTTGCGTTGCCTCAGAAAGCATTTCAGAGATGTATGGCTTCGCCTAACACTGCGTCGTTGGATCAGATTGAAAAATTCCCTAGAAATTGACCTCGTTGAAACCCTGGCCTGACGTTGATCTGCCATAACTCAGCGACCCCACGAGGTACATCTTAATTGTTTCATACCAAACGATCCTCTATTTAACTGTTTACAGCTATGAAAAATTTGACGCGGCTACACCGCACCGGAAAGCATTCTGGAAAACCTACGGGGTGGTCAATTTGACCGCCGCCCGAGCGCGTGTTAATAAAAGGGACCTAATAAAAGCCCTCTAACTGATAATTCAGGCCATGGCACTACGGGTGGGGGCCAGGGCCGAGCCCAGTATGACCCTTGATCTTTGGTCTGTACAGGGGCCTGATCAGCGTAAATCACTGGCCTCGGTTTCGTAGCTGGTTGGGGAATGGGCCCTCAGGCCCATACCGGCACGGAATTGACTGCGATACTGGGGTTGCCTGACCGATCTATAGGCTCATATCGACTCAGGGGTCCTTGATTGGCGCAGAGTGCTTATTGTTTGCCATTTGAGAGCCCGTCCCCGCAGACCGGGGCCTCTAAATACGACTCCGACTAGCCCTTCATGCCCTTATACCCTTCAATCGGGCCCTTAATCGTCGGACCCGGTGGACTCTCCAGGCTCTTCGGGCAACCGCGAACACCGCCTGTGGCCGACTCAGGGCCCCCTGAGTTGAGCCCCGACTCAACACAGAGCCTTCGTTGGGCGCTGCAGAACTCTGACAGACTCTGATGCATCGATTAATGTAAATCACTGGCTCTGGCTTTGTCCCTGCTTGGCAAATGCGCCCTCAGGCCCATGCCTCTACGCAGCCGAGTGTGCGCTTCTGGTGGTGTCCGACAAACATATAGGCTTTTATCGACCCAGGGGCTCGTGATTAGCCCGCAGGACTGTCTAGACGGCATTAGAGTGCCCAGCTCCGCGGGTCGAGCCCCCTAAATACGACATGCGGCTGGTCTTTCGGGACCTTCGGGCCTTCAAATCGGACCCTTAATCAAAGGCCCCGAGCGGCCCTTCGGTCTCTTGGAACCAAAGAGGGCGGCATGTGCCCCTGTTTCACCCCTCCCCCCCCCCTTCCTCCCCGTTTGCGCCATTAATACCGACAGACTTTTCGTGACGTGCGGGGGTGTTACTGCATCATACTCCTAGCTTACATGAGGTGATTTTAGCAGTCATTAACTCTTTCCGTCGCATTTCTGAACGGTCGGCAATTGTCACAGTGAACAAATGTGAGAACAGTTTGCAATGTTCAAGCCCGCGTTTTTATAGCAACGGGCTATGATGTTACGGTTCTGTAGGCTAATAAGAAATGAAACATGACGCAATTTGTACTGTTTGCCTTTGCTGGATCTCCAAGGCTGTTCTGTGTGATCGGACGGCTTAAGCCCTCCCAAAAACCTTTAGAGATTTCAGGACATTTTCGCGTTTGTTTATCCAGCTCCTTCCGTAGGATGGCCTGAGCCAAAATGTTATTGCATTCCAGTTGTTGCAGAACACCGTCGTAAGCCTCTGGATTACAAGGAACACAAAAATTCAAGGAAGCATGGAGCGGCGGCCTTTGACAACGGACCCGGAAGCAAGACAAATCAGGGTTAGCCACTTCATTTTCTAAACTTCAAAACTGTTCCTATTTGTGTGGACTAGAAACATGTAAGCTGATGTTTATTTACCCTCCTAGCTTGGAATGATCTCCATTGTCCCTGCCTGTAATAACTTTTCAGAGCTAAATATATGTTTTAATAAGGGACAAGACGCCTTCAGGATATCTCGAAACAGGTTGTCCAAAAGTGACGATCTTGACGCAAGGCCTTCTGCAGTGCCATGCGTGCATATTATGAAGTATACCTGCCATTGTCGCCATGTCGATTCACCCAGTTATTACCCTGCGCACCCACAATCCCTCCTCTCCGCCTGTCTCTGGATTTTCTGATTACCGTTCTGATACCTATAAATTAAGCTAATCTAGTACAATTTTGTGTCTTGGTAAGCTTGTTTGCGCGTATGAGAGCGATTTGTACTGATCTTATTTTAGCAGCTTGTCCAGTCCTTTGGAGATGTCTGTTTGCGCATCTTTGGTAATTAAGCGGCGGTTGCTATAACGACGGCGGTCGCGATAGCTGCAGTTGTCACGGACTCTGGATGAGCTCTGGGGCTACCGAGAAAGGAAAACATGAAGTTCCATTACAAAACCTTAACAGCGTCGTTTCAACTAAAGACGGTCAAAATTGGTATAATTTATATATATATATATATATATATATATATATATATAT